CGAACAAATTTTTTGGTCTTTTTATTCCACAATTTCAGTTTTATTTTTTATAGACTAATTTATTAATTTTTGCAGACAATTTGTATAGTTTTCCCATTTATATCATTATTAATTTTTGAAAACTATTGATTGCAATTTTTTTAAATGTGGAATTTTTGGCAGAAAATAAGGTAATATTAAAAATTGAAATTTTCAGAGCTCAAATATCTGGAATTTTCACTTATCCAAAATTTTAAAATTTCCTGCATATTTCCGATAGTCGAACTTTTACTATACCATCCTCATGATCTTAAGAGTTAACCTAACAATCTACCAGATTAATTTACGTCATTTATATTGTCAATCTTGATGCGGAAATTAACTGTCCATGTTCTATGACAGTACATGTGAAAATTGAAGAGCATCAAACTACTCAACATTATTGACGATAAGGAGAAAGATTATAATTTGTTTGTCAAATAAGACTCTTTATTTTTATGTTAATAATTTAAGGACTAACAATAGATATACTTTGATATATATATTCTTAATCCTAGTCCTATCTGAAAATGGAGAGTTTTGGAAAACATAGGTAAGCATCTTCTGGTCTTAATTGAACTAATGAAATACAAAAAAATTTGTATTCTTGGATCTCAAAATCAAACTTCGGTTTTTCTAATGATTTTGAATGGTAATCAAAAGAGAAGAGAAACAGTCCCTTCAGTTAAGTAACTTCTAGCAATTCTACTGCTAGCAATATGGAACATCACTTCCCTTTGTGTAGTAATTCATCAGAGATTACTGCACTATATCCTAGTACTTTTTTCCACACTGATCATCCTGTTTATTGTCATCTTCAAATTGATAAAAAGTGGAAACTGAGGGCAAAATTAGATATAGCTTTAAAATTTGTCCAAGGAAATTTTAAAGCTCCCCCAGACCAAAAATACAATATTTCTTATAAAAGGACATCCTCGCTCTAAAGTCCTGGGTTAGAAGGCTAAATTATGCATGTGTATCTATGACTGCCAGTTTCTGAAAACACACCTATACACATATACATAAAAGGTTACATTTTTATATAAAAGAGCTACAAACAATCATTACTTTATGACACGATTCTTATAAAATTCATCTTGAATGACACATGCGTGGAACTCGCAATCTTCTAGCCGAATCCATTCTTCTGTAACAACTGGAATGATATCATAACGACCCACTACTTCTTTCCCTTGACGTATAATATCATTTAAACCTACTTCAACTGATGGCATTCCTAAAAAAATAGATAATCATTAAAATTATTGTAAAAAATTAATAAAACTAACATTTATTATATATTCATAAGTGTTTTAATTAAACCAATTCTTGTAAATGCTTGTGTTTTCCTTTACTATTTATTTCCTTGTCTTTGTTTTAAATTTTGGTTTCATTGAAAACAGCTAAAATTCCTTTTAAAATTTTGATTTTATTTCAGTATCTCCTATTTAATTTTTAAAAAAAGTAACTTATTTCACTGTCACTATCCTCAGCAAGAATAGTTACACACACAACTCCATAGCATTCCTCTCTAACATTTCAAGAACAATTGTTTTACAATATGAGAAAGCTTCTTCAAGTTCTCATGTTTCTTCTTTATCTCACAAGCTCTAACAATTTGGTAATACAGTTTCATGTTGTTCGCATTATTTTTAACAACCACTGCATTGATAATTCTGAATAGAAGCTATCTCTTAACATCGATCACATAGTCAGAGTTCTGGAAGAATCCGTTGTTCGGAGGTTTTACTGTCTAAAAATTTCTGATGCATCAAATAAATATTCATTGATCTAACTTTCTTAAAATTCTTTATAAGGATCAGATTATTTATGAAGAGATTTTTAAAATGATAAAATAATTAGAAAAAGTAGAAGCAACAAGATTTTTAAAAGTATTAATATTTATCAAAAAGAAGCTTTTCTGTTGTTACAACTTAATTTACAGCTCCACCTCATGCAGGTGAAATATAATGTATGCAAGTGAAATATAACGTAGGGCAAACAAGTGAGTTCCAGTTGCTGAACCAGGGGGTTGAAGAGGGTGGCTAGCCTTTTTGCATATGTATTTCTTACTCATTTATCAAGGAGAAGCTTTTCTGCTGTTACAGTTCCACCTCATGCAGGTAGGATAATGTGGATACAAAAAGTGATGAGTTCCTGTAAGTGGACCAGGTGGTTGTCAAAGGCAGCTACTCTTTTTGTGTATACATTTCCACTTTTACATTATTGATTGTTTAATAAATTTTACTAATTTTAACTTCTTATCTTTATTTCAATCTTGATTTCATTTACCTTTAATAACTCCATGTACTTTCTTTTCTTTAAGTTTTTTTTTTATTTTTAAAACTAAACTGTTTTTTTTAGAGAGTTAAAGATCTTTGTAACAACTGTTAAACTGTAAAAAGAGAATTATTCAGACCAAAAAGTATTTCATAGTTGTAATTTCATACAGGATATTTTTTATATTGCTTTTATAAAAACTTAACATATTATAATGTTCAGAGTAAATATAATAAACATTTAACAAAATATTTTTAGCTGAACAAAAATCAAGATTTTTGAAGGAACTCTTAAAATTTCAAGGAGCAGTTCCTTTAAACATTTCCATAAAAGTTGCATTAGAACGGAATGTACGGTCAATTTTTGCTACTGTAATTTTGCTGAGATACAAAACAGCGTTTATGATTAAAAACATTACATTTTAGTATTGCAGCGTATCTAATGGTGCGACTTATCTGGTGATTTTTCTTTTACTTGAGCTTAAAAAATTCTAGTTTGTTGAAAGGATTATCCATAATTTCATTACTACTCTTCCTCTTTTTAACTTTTGCCTTGATCTATTCTTATAATTTAGGATCCATAAAAATTTAAGGAATTAACAATGCTGGGGGAAAATAGTTTGCATGAATGTAACGATAGCGCAGCAGACACTCTCCTTTTCAACCAAAACGTCGTTACTGAATTCCTCCCCACTACCACCTCTGGAATAGTCTCTTACAAGGATCAACAAAAGTACAATCTCTTCTCCCCCTTTAATCCCACTTTTAGCTGAAGGTCAACTTCATTATTTTTACTTTCGGAAATGTACAATTTTTAAATTTAAACATTCGAGTAAAATGATGCAACATGATGAGCACATGGATAAAAGGAGATGGCTGATTTTAGTAAGTCTACTTTTTCCCATTTTTTTTTCTTTTGCTAATTTAAAGAAAAATCATTTCTGTTTATTTATTCAATATTTAACCTTCCTGGCGTATCTCAGGCATGATTTCTATACTAAAAACAGCTTGCCCAAGCATTTTCGGGTTCATGTTCTGTCCCTGGAGCGGCGAACCAGAGTTTTTCTCAACCAGAATATTTCCTTCCACTTCTACCTCCTACTGCTCACAAATTGAGAAGCATATAAGTTGTCATCGTAAATCACTCACTGTGCTAGAGCATTTCTGTTTGAATAGATTTAAATAGTTTGTATTCTTTTTTACGTTTGAACCCTCTATTCAAACCAAAAGTTTACCTTTAACAAAGAGATCATTTTTATTTTCTCCCCCCCCCCCAAGGGTGGCACCAGACTCTGCCCGACAAGGGGTCAAGTCTCTCCCGACAGGGGGGCTCAAACAAATATAAGTTCAAAATATCTAAATTAAAACGAATTTTATACTTTACATTTTTTTCTCACATCATTTTTTTCAAGTGTGTTTCTAAAATCACTAATATTGATACTATAATGTGCAGATTCCTTTTAATGTAAATTTAAATAAAAAAAAATTTCTGTTATCGATGTATTTTGTACTGTATGGTGCAATTTACCATACATTGCAAGCGTAAAAATTATTTCTGAAATGAAGAAAAATAATTTTTCAAAAAAATTCTACGCTTCTTACTCTCATAACGCAAAAATTATTCGTTAATAAAAATTTGAAATTTCATGGACATTTAACAAAACATTTAAAGAACATTTTGATTTCAAATTTTATTTTTATATGCATCGATTGGTTTTTGAATCATTTAAATGTTTTGCAAATAAAGTTTTAAGTACATTTTTTGCATCCACGTATTCTATCTGAAGATATCATGCCCCGTTTTGAACGAACTTTGAAATGGTTATGCTCATAAAATTATAAAATTCGATTTTTTTTTAATTGTTAGATAGCATAATTTTACGGACAAAAAAAAAAGGCTATTTTAATCAGGGGACTCGATGTTAATATATATTGTAAATAAATACAAAGAGACCAAGCACGTATAGTTTTTTCATGGGGGGGGGAATTTCATGATTGAGGAATTTATTATCTAGATGTAATATAATTAAACCAGTGACATACATACAAGTAAACTCTTTTTGATTTTCATAAAATAATCTAATACAGAAATTTTCTCGGTAAGCTTCATTTAAAAGCTAAAAATCACAACCAGTGATCTAAATGAAGATCAAAATAAAGACAAGCCATAAACGTCGTTGAACGCTTCTCTTCGATTGGGAAATAAGCGAAATTCAAATAAAAAGAACATTAAAATAAAACCACCGTTACGTGGGTTGCTATTTATATTTCTGGCCTTGGCAACAGTAAGTGTTGCTAGGCGACCGCAGACGATTTTAATCGAAAGTTTGATATTTTTAAACATAAATTCAGCAGACGATTTACCATTATAGCTTCATTTGTGTTGTTGACAGTAAATTGAAAAGTTCTTCTCTTTCAAAAAATGGAATTGAATCGTGAACATTTTCGTGCCATTATTTTTCATAACTTTCGACGTGGATTGTCAAGACAAGAGTGCTTCGATGAACTTAATTCTTTATTCAGCGATAAAGCGCCATCCTACAGCACTGTAAAAAATTGGTATAACGAATTTAATCGTGGTCGATGTTCGATCCAGGACGAATCCCGTGCAGGTCGTCCAAAATCCGTTGTTGTGCCAGAAAAGATCGATGCTGTGCGTGAACTGATAAAGCAAGATCGTCATGTGACATACCGTGAGATAGAGGCGTCTTTGGACATTAGTATGACTAGCATCAATAAAATATTGCATGAACATTTGAGCGTAAAAAAAATTTGTTCGCGTTGGATCCCGCATAATCTGACAAACGCTCAAAAAAAGGCTCGTGTCGATTGGTGCAAGGAAATGTTGGAAAAATACGTTCAAGGTACATCAAAGGCTGTGTATAACATCTACACAGGTGACGAATCATGGATCTATGCATATGAGCCGGAAACAAAACAGCAGTCAACTGTATGGGTCTTCCAAGACGAGGCAAAACTAACAAAAGTTCGAACTAAGGTAGACAACGTTAAAGAGCACAAAAATATTATTAAAAGCAGACAGCTGTTTCGGATGCTCAAAGGGCAACCTTCATCAGTGCAACGGCTGTCTACTTTAGTTTGTATTTTAGCACAAAGGTTGCCCACTTGTGTATTTACTAACAAAAGTTGTTCGAGGAAGAAGCACATCGAAACAAATTATTGCCTGTTTCTTCGGCATTAACAGTCATGTGGCAACAGTGGCGTTAGAGCAACGCAGGACGGTCAATTCTGAATGGTACACCACCATTTGTTTGCCAGAAGTCATCGGAGAAATTCGAAAAAAGCAGAAGGACAGGCGAATCATTCTTCATTATGACAATGCGAGCTCTCACACATCGACTCAAACAAAGGCATTTCTGACGGAGCGAAAGATCGAACTGATGGGTCATCCGCTGTACAGCCCTGATTTGGCACCCAATGACTTCTTCTTATTCCCACACATCAAAAATAAATTACGTGGACAACGATTTTCGACCCCCGAAGAAGCGGTTGATGCATTCAAAGCGCATGTTTTAGAGTCACCTCAATCGGACTGTAAAAAGTGCTTTAAAAATTGGTTCAAACGCATGCAAAAGTGTATTGATCATCATGGAGAATATTTTGAAAAACAATAAAACCAATTTCGATCCTACATATTTGTTTTTTCATTATTAGGCCAGAAATATAAATAGCAACCCTCGTATTGTCAAAAATTGACGTATAAAATATCAATAAAAATTCATCTGTTCACCGCAAATTATAATGCGTTTAAGCAGCCAAAATAATATATATATAAAATGAATTCTTTACAAAGTAGAATACATGGGTAATTTTAAGAAAATACGACACATAGGAATTTTTTTTTTAATTTTTAACCTTTTGGATTGGAATACTATATTTCTTTTAAAAAAAAAACTCGTTTATTAAAGTAACTCTAGTTAATGCCTTATAGAGAGCA